ATCATTGAAGGAGACCGATTGCACCCACTTTTCTTCGTACGATTTTTCTATCAACTTAGCTGCAACTTCAGTGCATGTGATTTGGTCCATCGGAATGCGAATTTAGAACAGAACTACAAACTGCCACCAAGTTGGGTGGCAGTGGTGCTTGACACTTTGAGTGATTTGCAAACTTAGTGTTCAGTGCTGCCCACACGTATGCACAACAAGCTTGGGCATAAAAAGTTCTCAAAGGCAACGGCATCTGCACTAATTTAAACTGTTTCCTTGACAATGTCTGTGCCTTTCAAAATTCAAGCCCGTTTGCAAATAAAATTGGTAGAGAATGGAAATAAAATCCGACAATGAAGGGAAGCACTTAAAACCATGGTTTTGGTGAGTCAGACCTCCAATTTAGTCCCATCAAGACGACGTTGGCAAGGCATCAAATCGTCCAATGCAACAGACCAGGCGAGGAGCCGTGCCTACATTGCTCAACTTGTTGTGGATCCACTGGTGCCGCAACTGAGCAATCAGCATTACTAGCACAACAACTGATGCAATGTTACTACCACCTCATAATGAGGATGGTCACGCCAAAGGAGTAAATAGGGCGAAGTGGGAATGCGACGATGAAAAATCCGACAACGTTTACAAAAAGTTGAACTTATTGCCAACATTGTTACAAAGAATTCCTACGTCAAAGTAAACGTAGCACTCACAAAGTGGCGGCTTTGGTGGCTGAATCGTAGACGTCGAGAGTGCCATCAATCGTGTCTGATATTCCTCTTGTCGGAGCAAAGATCTATTGTAATATGATGATAAGTGTGGCAAAAACATTTCTAAAAGACATTCACTTACTACACGCCTAACTCTCTGCGGTGTATATCGAGGTGTGTAGACGTTGAGTGTATCATCGAATTGAGGATATATCTTTCAAGGAAAGAACAGTAAAACTTCCTTCCAAACTTTTCGCCTACCGAGTGGATATCGTTCAAGTCCTCGATCAAGTCCTTTAGTTCTGGTGGGCCGTGTGAAGGAATTCGACATCCAATATAAATGACTACATCAACATCCGTGAAATTCAACTTGCTGACACATTTATAATCATTGGCCTGAATTTCCCCGAAGCTCAAACTTTTACAAAGGATAAAGAGCAATAGAAGAGAGGTGGTTGGTTCACACATCCTCGTGCATAGGCACAATTAAAATGAGAAAACGATGGTTGTGTGTGTGCCGCTAAAGCTGCGTTTTAATGTATGTGGGTGTGAATTCAGAAGAAAGATGGCGACGATTGGAGCTAAAAACTGGAGTGGAGCTTCTAAGTGCGTTTGCGCAACACACCCTAAATTGTCAATCAACATACACAACTGGAGTTTTTTGTAAGGGGAAGCGGCCGTGTTCTCTTACTACAACACCCTACAGTAGGAACGCCGAAGACATCGTAGGGCAGCATTTTGCGGATAAATGTGTAAAAGACAATAAGGGTTCCAATAACATTGACTTTGTTGCAGTCAACTTTGATGATAGCAGAAAAATGTTCTCAATACGAAAGAAAAATTAGCACAAAATATTGATACTCTTCACCTTTGGTCGGCTATCTCTGTTCTACCGGTCAGCGTCTGGCAATGCAACCCGAATGGACAAGGGATTTAGTCATTGGGACACAAATTACCTACAGACAGCTTCACCGATGACCTGCAGTGTGTTATATTAGCTGAATGTTCAAGGCAATAAATGCTCAGATCTGATCACTCATTACTGTAACTCCTTTCTTCCGTCAATATGACCGACACCTCTAGCGTGGAGCCAAAAGGTCACTACGCAACGGAGAATTATATCTAAGGCGTTGTGCTTATCCATAAGCCATAGGATTAAGGCCATCTATATCACCTCTTATGGATAAGTTCGCCCTCGGACAATAGCCGACGGATAAATGCGAGTCCGATGGTGACAATGTTGGTGTGCTGTGGCAAACACCCTTCAATTCTAGCATGACCAAGGTAGGAAAATAAAACAGATGTTGAGCTCTCTCAAACCCTAATTTTATTGACATTAGGTATGCCCAAATTTAGTTGTCACGCTGGGACACAACACGAGCATTCCAAAATGCCTCGTCAAATCTCTAAAAGTTTAAAATATGAGTATCATCGTCGAGTCAACACCACAACTGCCTGTCAAATCATGATCGTTGGCTTGATAAATGCACAACGGAGAACAGACGCCTACTTCACGTAGTAGAAAAATTTCACACTTCTACATGCATCACCATGACGAGACCCAAAGGTGGCTATCAAAATCACCATCTGACTGTAGTTCATCCAGAGCCGACTCTCCGCAAAAGTTGGAAGTAGGACAACCAACGACCATTCGAGGACATTTTGAACTAAACAAGCCACAGTCTTGGAATCAAATAGGAGTTCGCACTTCAAATGCGCGATCGCAATCTGCACTCCTCAGCCGATTGGTTATCCTACCAACCTCCAATTCTATCAACCATGACGCCCATTCACAGGTCTATTGAGAACAAATCCATCATAGTTACTCTACTAATGGGCAATTTCCTAGGCATGGACGCGATCCTCAATCCAGTCTATCTTTCTGATCTCAGTGAAAAGCATGAGTGATGTGTACAGACTTTCTTTTAACCCAAAAATTGAAAAAAATATGGCTCAACAGAAGTGAGTACGATGCAGAGGCGATTCCATCACTTTTTGCACAAGACACCGGCTGCTGCCATCGCTGCCTTTTTCTTACGGATCTGGTAAAAGGGAGAGGAGAGGTATTGTAAGAAAATATAAGAGAAACGAAACGATATGATAAAGACCATAAAAAGTGGCGCATCCAACGCAAAGTCTCTAGAGCGAATCGGTAAAATGCGGAACCAAATGTCATTACTGGATAGCGATCACGACCTTAGAAAAGAATATGATTGTTGCGAGGGCACACCAGTGACGCTCTCCAGGACCATTGCTGTAAAACAAGCCCAACACCACAAAACTTTAGCAGGTACACACACCGAGACTTCATTACAATCCAGGTGCTAGGACAAACGAGTTACTGAAGCTTCAAACTAGGGTAAAAATGTTCAAAGGAAGACGTGCCTGTTCGACCAGATCTTTGTAGCGCTGAACACATTCGCGACTAGTTCGTGTGGCTACCTCGTCTGCAATGCGCTGCCAGCGCAAGGTGCTTGGCTCATCGGGTCTGATAGGGTTCTCGCGCAGCGCTTTCTCCAGAGCTCGCTGCTCTGCCCACGTCCAGGGACGATCAGCTTCAGCTGAAAGAGTTAAACACGACTAGTTAGCACACAGATACCACATCTATGGGCCATTGAATCGACAAACCACGTTTGAACTAGTTCGGGCTTGACAACAAAGAGTCTGATCGCCTTAAGAATGCAAACAGAAGCACAGGCCTTTCGATGCGTCACTACCGTCACCAATTTCATGCTCTCTCTTCCAAGTGGAGTTCAAAATTTGGGAGCGGAAGCTATTTCATGAGATAAATGGCGGACTTTGGGTTACGTATCGGTATCCATGAAAAAAGGAAGGCTTCGAACAAGAGTAATGAGTATCGAAGAAAGGAGAATTTGGAGGCCCCAAACTTGGGGACAGTCGATAGTGAATGCGTTGCAAGTACTGCCAATTAGAGGCTATGGAAAACGGAAAAGTAATATCCGCCTTAGGGTTAAAAACACCATCAACAAAATTTATTTTCAGTCCGAAGGCTAGAAAGACGATACGATAAACCTAAAGTTTTAAGAACCCTCAATGTCGAAACACTTGAAAATCTCCTCAGAACTTATGAAAACGTTGAACGCAAGCTACTAACGGAATCGAAGGCAACTAAATTTCATCATAAAAGTCCATATGAAACTATAAACAAGCAATAGACTCGAATTAGTTACAAATAATAAAGTGAGATTATCTAGTACCGAAGAACAACCATTAGTGTAGGCATCAACATTAGCATCCCAGAATGCTGAAAATGACATGTTGAGCGCTAAAACAGTGAAATACATAGAAGCAAGACAAACACAGGCAGAGTTAGAGCATGAAAATTTCAAAAAAAAAATAATAAATAACACTTCTACTTCCAGTCCACTTCCAGTGATGAAAGATGATACACCACCAACTAGCAGGATGAGCAAAGCCTGTGATTTTACCAGTAAATAAATTTAGCGAGTTGATGCAAAAGTGGAACGGATTAATTGGAATGTTTGACAAGAGAATACAGCGATCAGAACAGTAAAGCTGAGCCACCTAGTTCATTCGTGCTTGGAAAATGAGGGAAGTTGAAAGGTGAATAGAGTGCATGCTGCATATATGTGCTTGACAATGCTTTTGCCTCAAATATGCTGCTCCAAATGGCGTCCGAAAATGGCCTTAAGCAATTATTCATGAGAAGCCAAACTCAACACAAACCACCTCTATAACATACTTTTATGAAAACTAAAAAGATAAACCACAAGCAAAACCAAACCCACCCATACCATGAAACCAAATTACGAGAAGTAGCGGACTGTCATGAGGAAGAGATGAGACTAGTTGATGTTTAGCCACTTGCGTGTACAATGAGTTAAACAACTAGACAGAACTGCAGGAAAAAGACATCGCCCCCGTCGACCGCATCTTCGATGAAACTCGAAAAAATGAGTTAATTAAGAGTTGAACGTAATGAACTTTCTGTCGTTTGGATAGTCACATCACAGTGTACTGAACGTACCTTCAATCTGGTTGGTTATCGTAACCGACTTTGTGGCGTCTGACGCCTTGGTGCTGCTAGCAAAGCTGTTAAACGCCTTTTCATTGGCCTCCTGTTTCATAGCATTATCTAAGATAGAAAAGAAGAAAGTGCTTATAGTACTGATACCTGCAATTGTGTGACAGCTCAATGGTCGAATTGACAAAGAGAACCCATTGAGCCTCTTCGACGTCAACTACCGTTTCAGTGGCTCAAAGATCAGTTTACATAGCTAGTTCTGGTAGGCATTTTTCAATGCAACAGAGCAACAACCAAGAGCAAGACACGAGACTTACAATCCTGTCGAATATTTTTCGCCTGTTTAAGAGCCTCCTTCCCCGTCACTTCGACACCCCTCTCGTGTTGATTTACATAGGCCGCAATGACCTCCCATCTGGATGGCAGAGAAAAAAGGAAACCAAAGAGGTTAATGAGAGATGCAATGATGAAGGAAATGAATGGAAGCCCACCGTTTCTGCGTGCCGGCAGGAAAGAGATTGACAGCCTTTATGAGGAGTTGGTTCATTTCGAAGGTCCACCTTGAGATCGCCTCAGTGCTGTTAGAAACAGAGCAAGCGGATTTAGAATCACTGATGGGCCTCAGACCGGGGGCTGCGGATTTCTTGCGTACCCTGGCAACCTAAAGGCAGCAAAAAATAGAATCAGTACGGCTACACTTTGCTTAAAACTGACAGAAGAACCACCTCATGAGCCCATGCGTAGACAGACGCGATTTAAGGAAACATACTGGAACTGCAGTTCTTTGAAAGAAACGACTCACTGCATTTTGATTAGTTGTTCTGCCAATTCCAATAATAGCAAGTAATTTTTAAGCACAGAGAAAATTTAAGTTTCTCGAGCTTACTAGACAGAAAAATTTTAGGAAGGATTACGTGCTGGAAGCTTAAAAGTTACAATCACCGACTAGCAATTAAACTAAGCTAAACAAAGTAGCAAATGGGAGCAAAAAAACGTGGCAGCGGGGAAACGTGTGCTGCGATTGCGAAGTCCAAGAAGGTCAAGATTAAGGCTGCAGACATGATGAAGAAACGACGACAGATGACTACATCACATGTGTTTTAATGCAAATAATGGCAATATTTAAATAATTACCTTAAGCAAAAACATACCTCTGCCTTCCATACATTGAAAGACTCGTTGGCATCACCTGCATTCTCAAGTTTTGCATTAAAATCTGCCAGCCTAAGTGAAAAGACATCAAAATGGAAGCGAATCGCAACGCCCTTGTAAGAAGTTAAATAAATGGCAAGAAAATATTGTCGTTCGACGACACAAATTCCACTGATAACAAGATCTTAAATTCTTACTTAAAACAGTACATCAGCCAAAACATTCACATATTGAAAGCATTGCTGCATAAAAAGCCTACTTTAAGCCAATGGTAGCGGGTCACATTGGAAGATAATCGGAATTGAAATCCCCAATTCAAAAGCAAGACAACTCACTCAATAGTAGAGAGTACATGACAGAGGAGATCAATATCCTGTAAGGTCTGCAATTTTACGGCGTCTTCAGTGACTGAAGGATTTTCAATCCGAGCAGGAACAATAAAGTGACCCCATTGGTTAGCACAAGCATTCCGCAGGCGCTTCTTCTCCTTCTTTAACAAAGCTTTATTCTGTTCTCGCTCCTTTCGTTGCAATTCTGCTTCCTGCCTCTGGCGTTCAGCATCAGCAGCTCGAGCCGCTTCCAATGCCTCGGCCTCAGCCTTTGCGCGCTGAAATGAGCGTAAGGACAGCGGATATTTTTAAGCTCACCAAAGGTGCTACATTCTAAAGCAAAATCTCTACTAAAATAATTTTAGTAAACATATAATTACATCCTCCTCTTCGAGGCGACGCTTTCGAATTGCCTCTAGGCGTTCGCGTTTGCGAACCTCCTTGGCCTCACGAGCTGCTTTCTCCGCGGCAAGAAGACGAGGGTCATGAGAGCGAGCAAGGTCAACTACCTGATGCACTTTCCTGTGCTCATCATTACGTCGACGTTGACGTTCCGCACGATTGCACCGTTCAATGTAACGGCGAGCTTCGCGACTGTTTCGGCGAAGCAAAAGAACAATAATACTTGTTTGATTAATATCTGCATAATCGAGAGCACAGATGGGCATATGAACAAGGATTGTGGCTTTGAAATTGTTTCTTACCCCAATCACAGTAAAAAGGCATGAAAAGGGTGCGATTTTGAAGGCGCCTATAAATCTCTAATAAAGTTGGCAGAATAATATGGTATCGGTAAGACCCAAGCATAACCAAGCCTAGTTATAAAAGTTCTATTTTCCAACTGCAAAGGCCTGACTTAATTGAATAAGAATCTGCTACATGAAATCACCAAATCGTCGATCAACAAATTTTTGGCATTATAAAAACTAAATCAAATCAAATACTTAGAGTACGAAAATAAACACAGTTACCACGATCTAACGCCAATGTCAGATCCTCTCTTCGATCACGTACAGAACCTAATTCTAACAGTCTAACAGGTATTTCAAGCCCCATTTTTATGAGAGCAGACAAGAACCCATCAACGAAGCGGACTAATGAATAACAAGTGGCCAATTTTTGACTTCGGGGTGCAAGTTAAGCTACCAAGTGTAAATAATCTGGGAATATGACGGAAGGGCAGGAATAAGAAAGCCTACACTTTCATGTGAGAATTGCATAGGCGAAAGTTCGCTTTAAAATGTGTGAGAAACAAATAGGTGTTGGTCCAGAAGTGAAAGGAGGATATAAAAGGCAGAAAAATACCACTTACTCTTCGCCCTTTTCTTTGTCCTCTTCATCCAAGAACGAGAAGTCCTTTGTAGTTTCGTAGCCCTCCCTAACATTGAAGGCTAAGTTACTTCAAATGTTTTTAATGAGGAGCAAAATAAAAGCGAGAACGCTTACCAGAAATCATAAAAACGATGGACTAGATCAAGTGGCAACTGTTTGTGACCCAAAAAAGGCGCTGGCTGGTGCTTTGACCACCTTGCCTTTTCTAGAAAAAACTTATTAAGAGTCCCAAAGAAATCCTTCTTGATCTCTTCTAAAGATGGTATGTACTCTGACAAGAAGGGGTCCACGCTGTCATAAGCATGACGCTTTGAAGGGTTCCCAAGGATTTCGAAGGCTGCAGAAAGGAGATAACAGGGAGGGGTGAGATTATGTCAAATTTCCCATGAATACGAAAACAACCTGCCTTGGGTGATGCAAGCGAAATAATCATGATTGATATCTTTGATGTCCTCTCCCCGAGCCCGCCGCTTGTCTGGATGGTGCTGCAGCACAAGTTGCCTGTCTAGATTGAAAACAACAATAGTTTCCTAGAAAAGGATACATTCAAATAGAATGTCCAAAGCGTGTAGGCGTTGGGTGATTGAATAATGTGACACTAAGAGGTTTGACAAATAAAGGAACACCATCATCCTAGACCAATAAGCACGCATTTGAAGGGCGCCAACGTTTAGCAAAAGCAACAATATAACAACTAACATCTTTTCCGAATGTCCTCATCAGAAGCCCGATACCTCTGCTTGCTTAAATTGAGAACCGCATAGTGGTCGTTTGTTTTCCAGTCTTTGGGATCCAATGATCGAAGGTAGACTGCATTATCCTCATCACCGACCTCTTCTGCAGCTGAATTTTTGTGCCCAGCCAACTCTCTGAACAACACTATATGGGGGTGAGGATTATAAACAACAACAGCCTTCATGGAACGCAAGGACATCCGGACTCCATCCAAGCACTCCAATAGGTGAAGGGAGCGGTTTTCTCTCAAGGTTAAAAGCCCGTTCCAACGATTTGCAAAGTTGCAAAGTGTAAGATTAAAGCACTTAGCAAACACATACCGACAAAAATGACTAAAAAGTGAAAATAGAGACTTATAACTGATCCAAAGGGTTCGCTATAGCAGTCAAAGTTGGCTAAAAGCTAATTTTGCGAATCCTAGAAAAACATTTCTCATTAACCGCATAAATTATGAGTAAAATGTTTATTAGAAAGTGAAATGAGACAGTTATAATGTCTGTCATGGAACTAAAGACTTCTGTGTTCAAAAATTGATGCTACGATTGTGACATCTTGAGCCTATTTCCTTTATGGTTGGCATTAAGTAAGGTTGGATATATGCTTCCCGAGTAAAACTATTTCCTGGATGAATCCAAGGTGACCGTCAGTCATGCAGGTGTTCACAGTAAGTTTTCACTGGACGCTTTTGGATTATCAACCCAGTTGAATAATACATTGGGCATATTTAAAACTTATCGTCAATGAGAGAAAGAGCAGAGCCCTAAGCTACAAATTAGTCTAAGGACAATTATCAAGGTCAAAGGCAAGATGATCTTCAAAGTGCAGGTAACCAAGCGGGTAGTTAAAAGTCTGAAGTGTTACAATATTTCTCTTCTTTTAAGCAACTGTCTTATCGCCTTTTTGTCACATCTTCCGCATCAGCAATCACGATCTATTAGGTGCTGTGACAAAAACCCCACAAGCTGGCAGCTCTAACCATCATCTACTAAGGGATCGAAGGGGGAATGGTAAGAGCGAGTTGGACAAAGCATTACGGACATGCGGTTCGGTTCGGCGGTCACATTAAGATTTTTCTGGCCCTTGTACCGGTGGGCTGGACTTCGGGCCACGCTCAGGCACATTTGCTCTGTTTTCTTCAGGATAGATGTATCCTGTCACACTAACTGCGTTCTTACACCCTGTAGAAAGTTTCGGGACGCTAAATGTGTTATGTATGCTAGGTCGTTTGAGTGGACTTTTGTAAGAGAGAGGCGGGAACCAGTTGGGAACGCGAATCACGTGGGCGAGGGCGGTGAGGAGTCTGTTTCCAGTTGAGTCTCCTATTCAGCCCATGTAAAATCCAATCCCATTTTTCTGTAACAAATGCCAAGTAAATCACCTGCAACTAAACCTTTCTTAGAGCCCGAGTTTCAAGGGCAAGAGAGTAAGCAGGCAGTTTCTACAAGAGGTACATGGATTTGCTTGATTAAGTGTCTGCATACTTAGAACGGACTTGGTATTTATCAACAAACGCGAAGTTTATCATCAATCTTGGTTCATGTATAGTACATTAATAATGCTTACAATAATAAATCTAAAAATTTTCATTAGCCCTTTTCGCTAATTGTAATCTACATAGTTTGTTTAAGTGTAATTTTATCGATGAGAGGCGGGAACAAATTAGGAACGTAAATCATGTATGAAGCCGGCGAGAAGTCTCCCTCCAATTGATACCTTCTACTCACATCATCTGCATCCCATTCTCCCATCCTTCCTATAGCAAGTGCCAAGTAAATAATCTACAACCAACTCTCTTGACGTCTGAGGTTCAAGGGCCAGTGGGTAGACAGGCAGCTCTTACACTGGTGGCAGCGGACACCGAATTCGACATTTTTTAAATGACTTTTAATATAAGGTGCTTTTGAAAGCGACACTTTGTCCGGGAGAACCTATAGCACGGAAGGCACCGCCGTCTTACTGGCATCC